GATCACTGATTGGTCAGACAGAATCGTCACTACCAGCGTCACTACTAGCGTCATTGGATTTGCGACACGAGACACTTTTTTAGCAGTATTTTTGTTTTGCTGCCATCAGCCTCATTTTAAACACATTTTTCCGTCTAGCAGTTAAAAACAACCACATACCGAGAATCAGGAACACCATCCCCTCGATAGTCTCCATTGTTCCTGTGTTGTGGGTTTGAAAATGTGGCGCTTTTAAGATGATGTCATGGCAGTAGAGGCGCGCGCAAATAACGATCAGTCCCACACACTTTGAAGGGGTACTACTGCAGTGGAAACGCAAAGGGAACCGAACTGTTCCGCTCCGAGTCGAAGCGTACTGCGCCGAACCGTACCGTACTATGCAGTGGAAAAGCGCCAATTGATGACTTAAAACAACTCGGAACCCTGCATAAAACAATTGATTGATTAAAAATGTCCGTATAAACTGGGGCTAGCTGACTTGCACAGTGCTTCAGGGTGGCAGATAAAATCCCATCAGGGCCACTCGCTTTCTTTACATTTTGTCGGCGAAATAGCCGATACACGTCCTTCTCCTCAATGACAATGTCAATGTCAGCTTGATCCTGAGGGGCAATGTTCTCCTCCTCTCTAAATGCGACACCCCCGGGAGGAAAAGAATGAGGGCACAGATTTTTCTCAAATCTTGTATAAAAAACATTAAATTCAATGGCCAGTTTAGTGGATGGAGTGACTAGTTGTTTTTTATTTTTGTAGCCTGTCAAATTCTTCAGCGACCTCCAAGCTGAAGAGGAGTCATTAATGCCAAATTGTTCCTCCATATTAATTTTATAGGCACTTTTTGCTTTCCTAATGGCTTTATTTAACTTTTGTCTGGCCAGCCTGTATTCATCTACTTTTCCTTCTCTGTAGGCCTGTTCTTTGGTCTCCCTGAGCAGCCGGAGAGATTTTGTAAACCAGGGTTTGTTGTTGTTATATTTCACCACAGTTTTGGTGGGAATACAAGCCTGCTCACAGAAGGAAATATATGAACACACAGTGTCTGTATATGAGTCCATAGAGTCACAAGAGGCACGCATGGATTCCCAATCAGTGGTGTCTAAACAGTCCTGTAACATCCCAATTGCCTCTGTCGTCCATCTTTTAGATGTGTACTGTACCGCCCTTGCTAATTTTAGCTTTTGTTTGTAGATGGGGACCATCTGAATTAAACAATGATCTGAATTCCCAAGAGGAGCACGGGGAAGTGAACGAAATGCTGCTTTGTGAACAGAATAAAAATGATCCAGTATATTTCCTCCTCGAGTCGGACAACTAACTAGTTGTTGTTAATTGTTATTTAAGTGAAATTACTGAACTTAAATATACAAGTTTGATAAAAATCATTATTAAAGAAGAAAATTTCTAATGAGAGGCTTTTGCATCTGAACTCTTCATATATATATATATATATATATATATTGAAATGGGGTTAAACTTTGATTATTCAGTCAAACCTTTATCTAAAGCATGTTTGTTAGTTGTTTTTTTTTACACATTTTACTTGAGTTTGTAATTCCTCCTCCAAAGCGCAGTGAGTTGTGGGCAATATTAGCTTTTTAGAGCAAGGAGATATTAGATATTAGAGCAAGGATTCACACTTCGGAAATCCACCGGAAATAGTAAACCATATGGGGACTTCTGGCATACTCTTTTCAACATACTCTGCTTTGGGAATAACTAACTTACTCACATACTGTTTTAGGATGGATAGTATTGACATTGAGACGCAGGGACGGTTAAGTGTTACTGTGAGATGCGTTATGGTTCTGCTGTGATATCTCAAGATGAAAAAAAGGGGGAGACTTAGTGTGTAATAGGGTTTAATGTTCAAATATGTTGGAATTAATAGAACCGTTTAAATTACACCAGGTTACCATTGTGAAGAAGAGTGGAGGATTTGCTTAGGCTGTGGACTGATCCAGCTTAACTCATAACTGCTTTGATAAAGGATGATTTAATTTAAACTTAACTTAAAATGCTAAAAGTTGTGTGACATTCAAGTACATGAAAATTAATCGGATGACTGAATCATGTCATGGAGCCATATAAAATTCACTTCGAGATAACTTTATAGATCACTTAAAATGCATTTTAAGAGAATATTTAAAATGGTTAAATTGAATGGATACGAATAGGACTCAAGGCTTTAGTATTGTATACTGACTGTATGGTTTCTGGGATTATATACTAAATCTAATTTGGATGGGTTATAATTCAGTTTGATAGAAAGACGGAAACAAAGAAGATAGATGGAAATGTGTATGTGTATGCATGAAGGTAGGCTTCTGTGTCTATATGTGTACACATGTGTTTAGGTGAGTGTAGGTAGATGTATGGTGTATGTGTATGTAAATATTTAAAGTACCTACTTGTTTTGTGTTTAATAGGATAAAAATAGAAAAAGGGGTTAGGACCAGAAAAGTTGTTTTTTGAACTTCTTCCTACTGATTTTGAACGTGTGTGTGTGTTTGTTAATGTTCAAATAAATTACTACTAAGACTTCATTCTATGTTGAAGTTACATGAACAAATTATATTCCAAATGGTAATATGGTACCAACAAAAGCCTGATTGGATTGGTTTGGTTTTGTCAACTCTAAACTAATCCTGTAACCCTGAGTTTGTCAACTACCATAATGGTACAGGCCTCTGGTCTCCCTATCCAAGCTGGTATTGGTCCACGTTGGTCATTATTTGTTCAAGCAGCTGAATAACAATCCTCAGTGCAGCTGAACCTTAAATGGTTAGATCACCCAAAAATGAAATCATTTACTCAACCTTGTGTTGACTATATTTATTTCTTCTGCAGAGCACAAAAGAAGATATTTTAAAGAATATTCACAGGGGTGTCACTAGAGTTTTGAACCCCCATGACAGTTTATTGCCTTGAAATCGTGTTCCAATGACCATAGACCTTTTTTGTTGTTGTTGTTGTTGTTTTTTCTTACATTTCCTGGGTTCTCAGAATCAGTCATCAGTTGCGTAAACTATATAGTGAACAGAAGATGGCAGCAATTACAATTTTTGTAGTACCATTTGCTCAAATTAAAAAAGGAAAAAAAAAAAAACAATAGCATTTCCACAACTTTCCAAAAGTGAAAAACATATCAAGAGATTGATTAAAGCAGTCAGAAGAAAGAATTAATGTGAAATTTGCCATCACTCCTACTGCCATTGTATTCGAAAAACTCAAGCAGCAGTGTATAGCTTTATAAATAACATTTTTAAAAAGATGAAAATAAATCTGTTCTAGATTTGGATGTTGCTGTGAAAATGCATAAATCACTGTTGGTGAAAAGGGTGCACTGTATGGACCAAAAACTAAAACACAGAGACATCCTTAAAATATCTTAGTCACAACAATGACCGATGTGAGGATGAGTAAATGATGAAAGAATTCATTTTGGAGTGAATTATTCCTTAAAGCTGGTATGACCAACTGGTAGCTGATTAGTGGATAAGAACCATCTTGTACTAAAACACAGTTGCCATGATAAAATGTAATACAAATTTAAAAAGAAAAAAAGACACATTAAAGTAACATTTTCTGACAGTGTAATAATAGCCTTGTGCATATTAAGACAGCAAACCCCCATTTAATGGGCTGCAACATCATATGGGCCAACAGGAATGTGTTAAGAGTCTGCTAAGACCGTAAACGTAGTTTAACATGTCTTCTTTCTGAAGCAAAGCCTTGTCCTTGACAGCTACGTCCTATTTCCCTGAAATCCCTTCACTGCTAGATGACTAAATCTATTTAACCGATTAAATCTTGTTAACTATTTGCATGGCTTGTTGTAATTGAATTAGGCCTATCAGATCCAGAGAGGGAGCTGCTTCCATCAGTCTGGAATGAGACAAAGGCTGAAAAGTCCGAAATCGCATAGGCTACTCTCGAGTAGGTACTTATTTTGAAAAAACTATTTAGCCTACTTCACGGCCACTTAAAAGTGTGTGTAGTGTGACCATCATGTGATATCAGCATCAGTTGTGTCGCTTTACTATCATTTCCAAATGCTCTCACATGGTCTCATGGGATAGTAAAGTGACAATAAAATACACATTTCAGAATCTCACCAGAAGTAGTACTGTAGGTCATCCAGTTACTTTTACCAACTTTTTTATACAGTGATTTGGGACATATACTCTTTTTTGTCACATATTGTTTTTCGTATACTATACAGTGGGGAAGTATGCGATTTTGGATGCTGTTTAGGAGTCTGTTTAGATGAAAATACTAACTAATTTGATGCAAAGCACCTACCACAGAATGCAAATGCCAATAAAATGAGACACCTGACCTGATCGCTACTGAGACAGTGGCGCCATCTAGCGGGCGATTTAAAATAACCTGTGCTTGACAGTTTTGATCGAGCGTACTGTATCCACAATCTGCTAGATTTGAGGTAATCTATCTATGCTGATGTTGCACTCCTGAACGTCGACAAAATGAACCATTAGCAGATATATCAGCAAATTTTAATTCTAAAGTATTTCTTTTCGAGGAAACATATTAGAAATGACTGACGTCAACCAAAACTCAAGCGTGTAAAATGATTGACAGAGGAAGAGTGTTTCTAATTGGCTACTAAGGGCGGTCCTCTCTCTCTCTATCTCTCTCCTAAGCGATATATTGCGTTGGTAGTAGTAGTAGAAGTAACGTTAGACAATAATGTGTAGTATTCCGAAAAACACATTTAAAGTCACTCATTTGGAAGTTCATAATATCAAGCGTCATATTTACAACTGTCAATTTTGCATGGCTTTTAAAAACCGCAAAAAAAAAAAAACAAAAAAAAAAAAACTAATGATATAGTAATCATTCATCGACTGTCAATAATATATCCATTAAAATCTACATAGATTAGGAAACTCGTCTAAAATGTTAGGACACATCAAACATGTCTGCTGTCTATTCTAAAAATCACATTTCTACGACACCAAGAATGTAATAAATCGAACCTCCAGCTGTCGGAAAATAGATTTGGCCCTCTCATTTTCTCTGTAGAGGTTTGCCATGCAGCTGACCGTGGTGATTGATTAACTAGGCACAAAATCATCATCCCTGAGAGTTATAGATGCACTCATTCATTCCTCCGTTTTGCTGCTGCGTGTGGATTAACGGTCCAGTGCGCGCGCGGCCTTATTATGACGTTTCTCACAAATCCAATCAGCGTGCCTGCTGTCGTGTCCTGAAAAATAAAATGAAAAATAAAATAAAATGAAGATTCTGCATAATTTCTCATTTATTATTCCTGATATCTGTTTTAAATGAGAATGCAATTATGTAAACAAAGTGACTCGTCAAATTAAAATTAAATTCAAAAAACTCGTCAAATTAATATTAAATTCGTCAAATTAAATTAAATTCTCCATCAGCATTTGCCAAGAGCCACTAGAATACGACATATTTTCTCATTCCTTGAGATTTTGCCTTTTAGTTTGTAAAAAATAAGATTCTGATTTTTTTAGACTATTCTGAATTAGCTTTTGGCTAAATATTTTATACATAAATATAAGAGCAAATGGTATTTTAAAGTTTTTATTACCAAGTAAAATGTAGTGTATATTTTTATATAGTGCATAGTTTTATATAGTTTTTATTCCACTCTACATCCTATCGTATTGTATTACTTTACCGTGTCAAAATTAAATAAAACTTTGTAAAAAAAAAAAAAAAAGGTCCAATCAGAGTTTAGCTGTCGTGTCCATGGGGTGAAAGGCAACTACGGCAAGCAAAGGTAGTCAGAAAGAACGGTGCTGAGTAAACATCAGCAGGACTTCAGTTACTCCACTGTGCCTGAATAAATAGAAGGAACATTTACGCGTAAACTGTGATTCATAGCAGGTGAGTAAATAAATTTACATGTGTGTGTTGTTATATTGCTGTAAGGTGTGTTAAGAGAGACGCAGAAAAGCGTTCAGATGACTGGGCAACGTAACGTTAAACTGTTTGCAACTGCTGTTTGAGTGTCTAGACTGATCTTCTTATTATGTTTCAATATTTATATCTATATTTTTTTTCTTTCATTTTCCACGTTTCAACAGATTATATTCCGTATTATCTGAATAGTGTGCTGGTAATGATGACATTACTTTCATCTACCATCTGTTTTGATTCCTCATTTTTCAAGTTCACCCATATATCAGCCACATAAACCCATTTCTCAGATGTAACGTTATAACTTACTGCTTTTTCATTATAAATATTCTGTGTAATCTTATCATGACGTCTCTTGAAATGTGTGTTGCTCTCATTGGTCAAATACTTGTGAAGGGCTACTCCAGCTGTAGTATCATATGAATGGAGCTGACATTCTTTTCTCACATGAACTATTATTACCTTGTGATTTCAGTGTAATGAGATTGAAAGAGAGGTCTGGGCAGCTCAGATTATGGAGCTGGTTCTTGCTCTGCTCCAGCTGTATGCTGTCTATTTGGGCTCATGGAGGACAGCATGGAGTACCAGCTGCTTCAAATCAAGATCCCCCGCCAATCATCCGGCTGGACAGGAACATGGTTCAGGATAAAGAGTGAGCACGTTTGTATTCACTATACTCATTATACTCGTTTATAAAGCCTATACATGTATCCAAATTTAGTGAAACTGTTCTACTGAAATGTATTTTTGTAGCCTTTGTTGATTTTTGAGTGGATTCTCTCTGCCAAATGACCTTGCACTGGAGCAGTCTGTCCTGATCTCTGCCTGTCTGTCTTTCAGTGAATAATATGTCAGGAAAACAAAGGTCACACTTAAACCTCATCCACGAAACTCATATTAATATTATTTCTCTTTACTAATTTAATAGTAACTAATAAATTATTATTTTTTTGTTGTGAATTTTAGTTGTGTTCTGTAGCTAATGGTTAACGGGTAATGTTGAAATCAATGTTTGCTGCTTAATATTTTTGTCGAAACTGTGAATGAACTCTATCCTCCAAAATGTTTAGGGTATACACACACACACACACACAAAGAGAGAGAATAACATATTACGAGGTTTCAAATACAGTTTATTCGAGAGTAATGTCGCACTCTCAACACAGAGGAGTGGGTAACTGTGTTTTTATCATGTGTCTCTATTGCTTTTTCTGAAATCGATCATTTGATATGGGCTCACTTTACTTTCACGTCACTGAAAATATTGAATATAAGAACGACAAACAATGATACAATTATTAATACATTATTAATTTATTCCAAACAGAAACACCATAAGTTATCCTTTGTCAACTAAAATTACTGGTACCTCAACTCTATTTGCCACAACCAAGATTTACAAAGAATATGTAATTTATAAATGCTTCATAGTTGGCAAATGTTTTAATTATGTTATGAGAAACAATTTTTGTGTTGTCTTTGTTTAAACACTATCATGAAGTAATAACTACCTTATAAAACATAAAGAATAAATATTAATAAAGATGATTAATTCCCATGCTGGACTATCCTTGGTTTTTGAGGTGTAGGTTCATTGTCTTCTGATTTGGGATCGGACTCAAACATGTATGGTTGAGTTTCACCGGTTGCATCAATTAAACATCAGAAGTTTTCAAAACAGTTCCACAAGTGTAATGGTGGGACATTGAAAATTATTTTAATTTACAAAACTCAGCAGTGGCTGTTTACGTTCAAGTATTGAATGTGACATGCCTATCAAAATGAAGTGTTGGAGAGGGGGTCAAAAACAGGATAGAAAATGACTTATTACTTTTAAATAAAGATGTAGTTTATTTGTTTAATTATTTTTAAATGTAAAAATCTTGCTGACATTGTAAGTGTGATGGCAAAGAGAACATTATAACCCCCTTAATGACCCCTTAAAAAAAAACGAAAACAATTTTTTTTTTATTGTAATAATATTGCACAGTATAACTGTTTTTATTGTATTGTTTTTATCAAATAAATCAGCCTGGGTAAGCATTAGAAATAAATAAATATTGTGGTAAAATAGAAATAGACCCTTTTTGGCCCTAGTTGGATATGACGGCATATAAAGGATGCCAGTAGATTTATCTATAGGGTGAAAGTTTACCCTATTTATTTTTCTTAATGCATCATATAGATCGCACTGTGAATAATTAATCCGTGCCTATGTTATATTCTTTATTACCTTGTCATAGCTGGAGCATTCGTTAAATTACAGATAATTACAGATATAATTTAGTCAAATCAATCCCGCCCTGCAAGCCTCCACGTTTGAGTGTAACAGCCACATCTCAAAACCCAATCAAGAAATAATGCACAGAACCAAGTGTTTTTTTTTTCGACAGTCATCTTCACTTCGATATACTAGAAAATATATGTTTTAACTTCAATTTTATCTTGACTTTGATCAGCCAAAGGTTACAGTTATCGACTGATGCTGATCATCTTAAATTGGCCAAATACAAATCCACCTCTGGCTAATATTGTTCCGTCTGTAATCTAACCTCACTTCTGTTCTGTTGTAGCCACATCATGGAGCATTTAGAAGGGGTGATTGAAAAGCCGGAGTCGGACATGACGCCTCAAGAGCTGCAGCTTCACTATTTCAAGATGCACGACTATGATGGCAACAATCTGCTGGATGGACTTGAGCTTGCCACTGCCATTACTCATGTGCACAGAGAGGTGTGTGCTCTAATTTGAGCTTTGACTGTACACTACTGGTTCAAAGTTTGGACACAGCCTTCTTAGAGGTGCACGATTAATCACTTAAAGATTGCGCTCTCAATTTAAACACCCACACAATCTTATTCCTAAATGACAACGATTTGGTTATGTCTATTAAACATTTGACTAAATCATACTGGAACATTCGGTAACACTTTACTTGAAGAGGTGTGCATAAGACTGACATGACACCCTCATTACCATGACATGACATATGACAAGTGTCTTTTGCTCAATAATGACATTTTGAATGCAAATATGACATTGTTTAAGATGTCTTTGTTATGACATCTTGACATAAACCACAACATCATAACCTGTCAAGTGTCGAGTTAAACTGTCATGTGGTTGGCTTTGACATTGGCTGTCATGAGGCCATTATAACTGTGGCATGAATATTTTTATGACCTCAACTACAGTGGTACTAATTGAATTTATCATTAAAAAGCTATAATGGCTTCATGACAGCCAATATCAAAACCAACCACCTGACAGTTTAATATAATGTTAACCAATAAAGCTAGGTGGTTTCTTAAGTTTGATAATTAATCTGATCTGTCATGTTTATGACAGGTTGTGTTGTCTTAGTAATGTCAAGTTGTCATGATAAAGACACTGACAGGTTATGATGTATTGGTTTATGTCAAGGTGTCATAACAAAGACATCTCAAACAATGTCATATTTGCATTAAAAATGTCATAACTGAGCGAATGACACTTAATGACAGCTGTCACAAACATGCATAAAACTTCCTTCATATTCATGTCATGATTATGAAGGTGTCATGTTAGTCTTATGCACACCCCTTAAAGGTAAAGTGTTACCAAACATTCAAATATGTGTTGGCGCTGACCCAGAGAGTGAAATTGTGATGTATAGGGATAAAATAGCTTCACAAACAGTCTTTTCAACTGCATAGTATTGTTACTCAGATTATCACAGAAGTACTTTTTACAGTTGTTATCAAAATAGAGCAAATCTCAAAAACACTTCAAATAACTATTGCATCGACTAGGTGGCGAGTCGGCGACAAGTGCCTGTTAAAAATATGTATTTGTCTTTGAATCATTGATTCAAGAGATTTGTTAAAAATGCTGATTCAGCAGTAATAAAACGAGTGAAGTATTTATGAGTGAGTCGTTGAATCATTAGCACTATTCGGACGGGATTAGTTTTACAAGGGTAGATGGAGTAATGTGTTTTTACCACAGACACCTGTAATAATATTGGCCAATTTGCATGGGATAAGATATCTCAGTTAAACCAGCAAGAAGTGGGAGGGGTAACTCAATCTTCCTGTCGTCATGTGTGTTGCGTTGCTTCCTGATATCTCTATATATTTCTATATATAAAACAGTTAAGTCGATGTATTAATTAAATTCAGTTTGGATTATGTTGGTCTTAGGCACTTACAGTACCTAACGCTGAAAGATGTTTCGTGCCCCTAACAAGTTCTTTCAACTTTTTGAAACAATTAGCAATGTATATAGCAAATATAATTAGTGTTGTCTCCTGGCTTTTTTTTTCCAGGAAAAAGGAGATGATAGCCAGCCAATGAAGGAAGAGGATCTCATCATTCTCATTGATGACGTCCTCCGAGACGATGACAAAAACAACGATGGCTACATTGACTATGCAGAGTTTGCGAGGTCTCTGGAGTAAAAGACGACGGGAACAACCGTGGCCTTACTGTGAATGCAGATTACCTCTGGTGTACAAATCTCCAGCACATTCCTTCATGCGTGCCTGCGATTTCACAGGCGCGGTATATTCATGCTTTAGTATAACCGGTATAAAATATGTCGTACAATGAAATCACGTAGTGACATGAGATGCTTTGTGTTAATGCCATCTGTGTAACATTAATTCATTGTTGCACTCACATCTGCATCTCTTATCAGAATGGGCCCTTGATGTTTAAACTGCCAAATTTATAAGCTATAAACAAGCATATGTTGTTATTATTGAATAAATACTTTTGCAGTGACACTCTCCTGCAAAGCTGATGGTTAAATGAAGCTAAAGTGGGATGTAATCGCTGCTCTGCTGTTGAATGATGGCAAACATGCACTCTTTCTGCCTTAAAGGGATTATCACTGTTAATGTCATTATAAAAATACCCATTCAAAATGATCTGAAAGGACATAACTTTCACATGTTGAGCACAGAACATCTAGTGCAGATTTGGGTTTACCTAGATTTACATTGAAATTTGCAAAATGCTTGTTCGGACCTGGATGAATCCCAATGTAGAGCTTTGGTTGGATTTAACAGCTACCATCTATTTGATGAAGTTGTCCATTTCTAGAACAGAAATGTCCACTAAAACATCAGGGTGAACTGATTTTCAGCTTGCTATAGAGTCTGAATGTACACAAAATGTCATATGGGTCAATGACATGATGCTGTTTTTGTTAGGATCTACAGTATTATGTTATTCAGAAAAACAATTAAATTTAAAGTGACTTTAATGCACTTCTTCCATAATGAACAATCTTTTTGATATTTTTTTGAGGCATAAATTAAAAAAAGCCGGGGTGATGCTATTACCAATATGATAATGAAGAAGAATGCCTCAATATTAGAAATTATTGAAAACTGAAAATAGTTTGGTATAATATTGTTAGTCCCTAGAAAAACACGTTTCTTACAAAACTGTTTATTATTATTTGTTGTGTGCCAAATCAGTTGTTTGGTTCAAGCAAAATGCAGAAAAAAGCTTCCTTGATAATGCAGTGGGATAAAAGTTTGTAACCAGCAAAAAGCACATTTCTAAGACCTTGGCACGGATGTTTTCAACAAAGTATTTCAAAGATTGCCATTGACCCATGTCTGTTTATTTTACATACTATACATAAAATGGCAAGAAGAACAGCATTTGACAAACCATGTGTAATTTATTTCTACCAAATCTGTAAATCGTTATTGACTGAATAGAAATGTCATTTAAAAGCTCATAGAGTCTATTGTACATTTCTTATGAGATGAGAATGACATGTTCATAATGATCCTTATTTAAAGTCTACAGTGTAAACAGAACCTAGTTTAATTGTCACAGTTTAGTATTGATAAAGAAAATCAATATAAATGTAGTTATTTTGTCTAGAGAGATATAGCAATAATTGAGAGAAAATATGTTACGTGTGACTGCAAATAATAAAGACAGAAAATGTCGATCTTGCTTTGTCATTGAAAAAACAAACAACTTTATTTGTTCTGTAGCTTCTTATACAAAAGGAAAGATAAAAGAATGGTAACACTTTATTTTGATAGTCCCTTTTGAACATCCTGTTGACTATAAGTAACTTTGCAACTACATGTCGGCTAACTCTCATTAGTATATTAGTTAGCTTTATATATGCAAACTCTTTATTGTGATGACTATACTGTAAGTAACTTTGCAAGTACATCAACTTATTCTAACCCAAACCCTACCAAACAACTCCTCTACTAACACTCTATTGAGAGATAGTAATCATGTAGGTGCTGTGTTACTTATAATCAACAGAATGTGTTGAAGGGACCGTCAAAATAAGTGAAACCAAAAGAGTTTTGCTACTGAATAACCCAGCAGCACTTCCTCTAGTTCCAGTGACTAGTGGTTTCCAGCGCCGACACAGAGGCCAGTGAGAGCACTGAATTAGCGGATGGTCCGATGTTGCGCAGCTGACTGTACCAGTCGTCTGACTGTCTGCTGGCTTGTGATGGAGCAGGGCCGGAGGGGCAGGAGAAATGACTGCTGGAGGACTGATGGGGTGGGAAGCCTCCAGGGGGCAGCACTGAAGGGAATCGGGGGATGTGTGGCAGGGAATGGGGGCACTGGTACTGCCGCCCCATGGTAGAGGAAGACACACACATACTGCTAAAGAGAGAACCTCGCCCTGGCATTATGCCCACCGGCAGCACTTTCTGGGTGATACGATCCTGCTTCCGCTGCTTGGCACGACGGTTCTGGAACCATACCTGCAGTAGGGAGTGAAAGCAGGCAGGTTTAGCTCAGTCAGGTAGAGTAATCACACCAGGGAGTCGAGGTTTGGCTGGGTAACATGGAAGATTAGCTGAAGACCCTGTAACTACACCATGTTGCCATTTGAAAGATAATTTTCTTTAGCAACATTTAAATCAGTAATATGTCATTAGATTATACTTATGGAAGCTTGTTTTAAAGATGATCCATTTAAAAAGATACAGTAATTGCGACTTTTATCTCACAGTTTCGAGTTTACATCTCGCAATTCTGACTTGTGAGAAATAAAGTCAGAATTGTGTGATGCAAAGTCACAATTGCATGGTATAAAGTCAGAATTGTAAGAAATAAACTCGCAATTCTGACTTATATCTCACAATTCTGACTTTTAGTACATTCACGTGCTATGGAAAATATGATATATTCCACTTGTGAGCTGGTAGTGTTGCGTTCAAGTGCTTTTGTTGTCGTAATGTGGTAAAAAGATGGAGATTCAGACCTGTTATTTAGCTAAAACTATTTTAGATTGCTTAGGTCATCTGCTACAGCAAGAAAATGATTTATCAAAAGTCAAACGGTAAATAATATGCTGTATATTTTCTAGATCATGAACAGAACATATTTTTCTACCATTCACGACTCTCACGTTGCTCTCCGCCATTTTGAAAAGGTCAAAGGTTATCTCATCTCGGCAACTCGTGCATCAAAATATTCTACGAGCTGCCCAGTCTAAAATACAGCATTCTCATATAAAACGCTTTTGCCAAAGCGTAGACATCCAACGCACATGGCACCCTTAGCGTCAGTATCAGGGAACGTTCCCAGAACATTCACTAACGTTCTTTAAAAGTTGTGTAAATGTTAGGACAAAACGTTATTAAAATAATGTTTTCGGAACGTTCATATAACATTATTAACGTTCTTGTAACGTTGAGAGAAAACGTTCTTAGAACAACGTTCTTGGAACGTCTTTATCACGTTATTTGTATTTGATGAACGTTCTCATTACGTTGATAAAAAACGTTCTTAGAACAACGTTATCGGAACGTCTTTATCAGGTTATTTGTGTTTGATAAACGTTCTCATAACGTTCCAGAAACATTATGCTAACCTTAGGATAACGTTCTAACAACATTATGCTAGCGTTCCAGCAACGTTCTGCAAACATTAAGACACCGTTCCAGCAACGTTAAGCAAACTGGACATTTCCACGTTTTTAGAACATTTTAAATTAACGTTCCCACAACCAAAATGGAACGTTAGAAAAACGTTCTCAGAACCTAACTTTGTTAGCTGGGCACTGAGTATGGGTAGGTTAGGTCTGGGGTAGGGTTAGACCACTAGGAGGCGCCTTCTGCCCCATATATATCTGCGTCTCATATTGACGCTAAAGGGTGCAATGAGCGTTGGATGTCTATGCTTTGGCAAAAATATGACGCCCTGGGATTCCACGTCGGATTTTGGCATTTACCATTACCATAGCAGGTGAACGCACCATAAATAACACGCATTTGAGACTTAATAAAACGCAATTCTGAATTTATTACTGGCAATTGCGACTTTATATCACGCAAATCTGAGATAAAAGTCAGAATTGTGAGATAAAAAGTCGCAATTACCTTTTTGTATTTTTTATTCTGTGGCAGACACAAGCTTATATAGCCTACAGCATAATGGATAGTGGCCAAGAACTAAATGTATCAATAGAATAACCCAGACATTTCCTAACCAGGTGTGATGCAATAAGTTTACAGTGATAAGCGATTTGTCTGTCCACAGTGTGTGCAACATGGCACAGCTAACATATTGGAAATTTTCAAATCAAAAAAACTCAGATTTCAGAAAAAAAAAAAAAAAATAATAATAATAATAATAATATCACCATTTGTGTTCTGGAGATGAATGAATGTGTTACAGAATTAAAAATGCACAAGTAATGACAGAATTTGTATTTTGGGGCGAACTATGTCTTGAAGAAGATTTCCATGAATCTGGCCCTAGAATTTTAAACAAATGCGACAAGCATTATGAAGCAGCTAGTTGTGTATCCACGTATTTTGCTGTCACTGTAAAACACTATTTATAAGTGTGAACATAAAACTAGGAACATTTATTTCAGTTACATGTTCAGTTATCATAGCAAATAGGTCGGTTACCTGTATTCGAGCCTCGTTGAGTTTGGTAGCTCTCGCGAGCTCCTCTCTAAAGTAGATATCAGGATAGTGGTTCTGTCTGAAAGCTAACTCCAGCTGTTCCAGCTGCTCACTGCTGAACGTAGTTCGGTGTCTCCTGCGGGACGGTGAAGGGTACGGCCTCGCTCGTCCTCCGCCACCCCTGGTGCTCTCAGATGTCCCAGAATCTTTTCTTGTGTGATTTTGAACATCTGCATCCAATAAGGTGAAATTCAAGGAGGTGAATTCATTATGAGTAGACTTCTTTGTCACTAATAAAGATTTCTAAGATTTGAAAGACTTTGTAACTTCTAAACAGAAAGAGTCTTGACTCAGGCCTCTCTCTCTGGTTACAAGCAATTTCCTATTGATAGTGAGAGTTCATCAACCACTGACACCCCTGAGATGTTGGATTTCCAGGTACTCTTCTCTCAAATGATGTTCACTGAAGACGGAGGATTTAAGAGCTTTAATGCTTCTGAACAAACGTCCAGGAACTCAAAAGACAGAAGGCTTTGCCACCTAAACTCAATATCGTGAGAGCGGCATGCCAGAGCCCTGAGGATTACGCTCAGCTTAAGCAAACAATGGCCGAAAAAGTGACTAATTTGTCAAATTGTGGGACTCTTGGTTTTCAGGAGCTATTCACTTCAGTGTGAACGGTTGGAATTGGTTGGATGTTTGAGCGAGTCTGAGAAGACAGATGAAAATACTTTTATTTCACCTTTTTCTAATTTAATATAATATTTTCAATGCAGTTTATTTTTTCAGCATCAACATTTTTGAGAACATTTTATTATTATTAAAAAATGCATCTGAATTTCAATTGTATGAATGACTCCCACTGTTTACTTTAGTGACAATATGACAAAAAATAGATTTGGAAATCCATGTTAGGTTTTATTAAATGTACACCCACCTTGGGAGTGAAAATAAAAAAAATGAATAAAGTAAAATAAAATAAAAACCTCAAGACTAAACAACCCAGCATAAATATTAATGTAAGTTGTTATTTTAATTGTGATATTATCCTTACAATCAAATAAAATAAAAACTTTTTGAACACTTGTTTTTATTTTTAAATGTGCTTGAGCTCTTACTCTTGAAAGTTGATATTGCAGTATGATAAATTGCTTGCAATGTTCTTTATTTGTAAGTTGCTTTAGATAAAAACATCTGCTAAAAGGCTAAATTGTAAATATTTTTTCATATCTCGATCATGTATAACATTAGATTATTTCTGTAGGCCTAGTAAATGCAATATTCTTACCTGCGCTTGAGCTAACCGTGACCTCAGAGTAATTTTCAGAGAACTGTTGCTGAGGTTTGTCTGTGTCCATTTCAAACTCTCTCTGGGCTGCAGGCAGGATTGAGGTTTGACCCCCGTCCTAACCAAACCATGCCTTTTCACTGAAATCTAATGTGACATCACAGGCAGTCACACCTCTCACCTAGCCACTTACACGATGAAGCCAACAGTGACCTGTTACTGTCAGTGTCAATTGTAAAATGAAACTAATTAATGTAGTACTGTTGACATAAAAACGACAATCATGTGTGAGTAAAAATGTTCCTAAATCTGACTCTTAAGTCATATTAAGTCATATTAATATGACTTGGAATTCTGAGATGAAATTGTAATGGACTATTTTAACCACCAGGGGGAGAGTAAACAAAAGAAAAAGATGCAAGAGGAAACGAAAAACAAACTAACCAGTGTTTAATTTACACAATTCCATAACATTTGAGATTTGGGAGCATGGCATGATTATTACTTAATGTAAAAATGTTTTGAACATTATATTATGCTATCACCTTGTATAGCCAGAATTTTTGATTATCAAAAGAAAAGTTTAGTCTACTTTGTTTGAAGCTTATTCTAGTTAAGCCCCACTTTTGTTATTACATGTTAATTTATATAATATAGTTGATGCATTAAAGGGGTCATGAACTGGCTTTTTAAATTTTATTATATTGTTGTCTGAGGTCAACTTATGACGTTCACTTGGTTTTTGCATCCAAAAACATCAAAATGAATAAGTATTAGGCGATTTTCTACCTTAGTTTTGAGCCTAGGTGAAAAACGCTCGGTTTTTATGGGCGTCTCGTACTGAAGACTTGGAAGTAAACGCCCACTGCTGTGAGTGGATAACAGTTTTGCATATTATAATGAGTTTCAACTCACCCGTCGATGCACTAGGGGGAAATTGTTTTGAAAACGTCCAAATGGCAACCGGAATAATTTGCCCATACAAGTTTGACCCAGTGTCCGTGTGTTGCACAATTCCTGTAAGATACAATATAGACGGCACAGCACGTTCTTTACTCTTAATTGGTCTGCAAATCCAGTCTTGTTTACAAAACAATCCTCAGTGAAATGAAGAGAACAGACGGACGAAACATACAGGATATTCTTATAAAATGATGACCTCTTAGATGTCAAAAGCTCAAGGAAAATTTGATTTCTCAGTTCATCACGCCTTTAATGATAAGATGCGTCAGAATTTGCATATCTGAGTATGATGTAAGTCATGTTGGCATTGCCATATGTGACCTACTTTACATCAACTGCCAAACCACTGATATGAACACGACAGCTTCTCTCCTTTGGCATAAATTATATCAAAATATCAAGAAAAAGATTGCAAGAAAATGTATTTTATGCGCATTGACAACTTGGTGGTGAATTTGCATTAATCCATTTAATCTGTCTATTGTTGAAAAATTGAATTGGTTCTGCAAGACCAGACTGAAGAGCACTGACAAACAGGATACAAGTCGCTCAGGCAAGTATGAACGTAATCTTTTCCAGGGTGGGTGACTTAGTGTTCCTGAGGGAGTTTACATTCAACTAAACCCATCTATCTATCTATCTATCTATCTATCTATCTATCTATCTATCTATCTATCTATCTATCTATCTATCTATCTATCTATCTATCTATCTATCTATATATCTATCTATCTATCTATCTATATATCTATCTATCTATCTATCTATCTATCTATCTATCTATCTATCGTGTAAAGCACGGCTCAAATGAAAAGGAAGCAAATGGATGTGTGTAGGCAGGGTCAGTCCAAGGGCCTGTACCCAGAGCTGGAGAATCACAAGGACTAGCTAAACATTGCAGACCCCCACAATGCTGTGACCAGCCAGCTCCCATCCCTAAGAGCTTTGGGAATTTCCAAAAGTCTGAGGAATTCTGACTCAAACTAGACCCAGTACAGAACTGGGAGGAGGTTCTGCCTGTGAGGCCCACAGTTTAACCACAATCATACACTCACATGCACAGACTTGCGTTCATACACAAATATACATGCGCATGCAAAATTTAATTGACGCTCGGAGAAGACGTTCTCTCCTCCCAAGTTCCTGGGACTGAACTAAGAGTGACCTGGCTGGCCATCCCTCAGCCCCGATGGAAGGAATGTAACCCAACACTCTCTGCCCTGTTCTACTTGGTGGCTTGTGTGTCTGTGTGTGTGTGTGTGTGTGTGTGTGTGATCGAGACACAAATTCACCTTTTTTTTCCATTTACTGAGAAAACGACTATAATTCATATAACATACAACTATAAGTATTTTGTTTTTCCTAAACAAGTGTTGGTCTAATTTGTTGTTTTATTCCACCCACAATCGACGCCTATTGTAGGAGCCACACTTACAAATTTTATTTAATTAGTAGAAAATGTGTTCATTTAAATACCATTTTGTTTACATATTTAAAAACAAAAATAACGACTTTATTCGACTATTCATTTTCTTCCTTGTGGGCCTGAGACGAGAGTTCAAGAGATTTCCACGACGCATAAGCGAGAACTGCGATCTAACTCTACTCCTTCTTGCGCAGTTCTCGCGCACGCGTCGTGGAAATCTTTTGAGCTCTCGTCTCAGGCCTACAAGGAAGAAAATGAATAGTCGAATAAAGTCGTTATTTTTGTTGGCTTTTTTTGCACAAAAAGTATTCTCGTCGCTTGATAAGCTTATAATTGAGTCACTGTAGTCACATGGAATATTCAAACTAGCGAATCGCTATTAATCGCATTCAAAATACAAGTTTTTGTTTACATAATATATGTGTGTATGGTGTAATAATTATTTTGTATATACAAATTCACACATGTATATATTTAAGAAAAATGTGTTTTATATCAATATAAAAAATATTAATATTTAATATAAATGATGTATAAATATATTTACAGTATATACATGCAATAATTTGTTTAATATATACTGTACATGCATGTGTGTATTTATATATACAAAATAATTATACACAGAGCACACACATTTATTATGTAAAGACAAACTTTTATTTTGAATACGATTAATCGTGATTAATCATTGCCCAGCCCTAATTTAAAAATTTTCTTCTACTTTTCTGGGCTGTCAAGTTTTAACCCCCTAGGGTGCCTATATGTGGTTGTGACCCAGCTCTCAAATTTAATCAACAAATATCTTCATATGTGTTCCAAAGATGAACAAAAGCTCTTACGGGGTTGGTACAGCATGGGGGTGAGTAATTAATTAATAACTTAATTTTCATTTACTAACCCTTTAAAGTTGTTTATTTTTTCTGAGTATGCCACCCCTGACAGGAGGGGGCGCTGGTGCAAGAGCATACAATCTTCTTTTGACTGTGCGCATGGAGCCAAGATGGTAACGCTCTTGCAATTTATATAAGTTGTTTGTGTTACGTTGCAATTCATTTTTATTTTTATTTATTGAACTTAAGTCATTGAATCATCAATGGGCTTCTGGATCTAAGGCTAATTTGCACATATCAGGATATAATTGCATCAACATTTCCCACAGTGAACAAAGGGACAAAATTGAAAACACTGAGACTGAATCCAAAATTGCTCCTAAACCCTCGTTCACTATTCCCTATGTTTGTTCACTAATACAGTTCACTTAAAGGAGTAAATGAAAAGGAGTGAGCAAATTCAGACAGCCGTTGAGCGTACATCGGTTATACATTGCAGTAAAATGTACGTGGGATTGAAAAAAAAAGCGCACTTAATAACGTCCACTATGATGTCGAACATCACTACAAATGGCTGTCCCTTCAAATAAGGCCCTATTTGAGTTTATGGGGGGATTTCGGATTCAGCCTGAAACTTGTTTTTACCACTAAACCTATAATAGGCTAAGTGAAGAAAGCTAGCCTTGAAAAACTTACTTCACGTTTATTTTTAAGTATACTTAGTTTATGTAGGAGCCAAACTATTAATTAACTAGTTGTGTAGCCTACGTGTACTTTTTCAATACATACTTGGGAATAAAGTGGAATAGCCTAAGTATACTTTTAGTATAACAGTATAAACTTTGAGTACACAACTACAGTGGTCAATTTTTGAAGTGGATCAAAACCATTTGTTAAAGTCATGCATGAATTTTGAACAATACCCATTCTTATTTGATCCACTTTTGATCCACAAACTTTTTTGATCCACTTCAAATGTTGACTACTGTAATTTACAACTAAAATTTTGTTCACAAGTTCACATTTAAGTGTCCTGATGGTTTACTAGTTAAATAGCCTACTTGTAGCACATTTTTTTTAGTTTATGAAAGTACACTTTGAAGTATACACTCAGTAAAATACTAGTTTAGTGGTTTTATTTTGCAAGTATGCTTGTCCGTTTTCTTTAGGCAGATCTAACATCATACTTACAGTTTATTATTCATGTACTATTTTTGCAGTAAACTACCATGTTCCTATTCAGGTATTATTTTTATACTTGAAATATACCTTTAACTGGAAATTTAAAGTAAATTCCTATGTACTCTACCAGTGGACTATACAAAAATTCACATACTCTGAATTATTTATTTCTCTATAAAATCGCCATTTTTCAATTCAAACAAGGTAAGTTTATAAAACAGTATGTAAACAAGCCTATGGGGAAAAAAAACCTGAATAGGCTTTTCAATCAAAAGAGTAAACACAACTACAAGCTTAGTATACTTAGAATAGGCTACTGAATTATACATTTAAGTATCTCGATCACAAGATTGTGTACCAGTTTTCTGCCAGTATAGTCAAGTATAATGTGCAATTTTTTTATATATATATTTCTGAGAAGTACACATAAAGTAGACAAAGTATAGGCCTACTTATTTTAAGTTTAAAGTTTAAGTACAGTAATAACACACTTTTTGTAAGGCTATTCATGATGTACAGTATCAAATAATTAAAATACTATATACGATGTATATAAATTAAAATACATTTCAAAATAATGAATCAAAATACACAGCAAATTTTTAACGTTTGTCAACAGAAAATAGGTGCTTTTTTGTCCCCAGATGATGATGTTATAGCTTCTAA